GTGTTGTGCACGAACAATGAATCATGGAACACTTCATCTAGAACTAATGATGTAATGTATGGGGATTAACATAAGAATAAAAAAAAAAAAAAAGAGAAGTGACTCTTCCAGCTAGGGGCAGCTCCGGGACTCAAGCTTCGGGTTTTCCATCCCCTAGTGCAGTGCTGTTTCCCCCCATAACTGCCACTCTTACATAGAGAGATTCAATCCTGTGACTTGCTGGGGAAAAAGTGAAAAATAGGCATTGGCAGTTTTACAATAAAACTTGCTGAAGTTTGTGAAACTTGTATCCATGCCACCTCATTACAGAGTGTCTCAGATGTCGGTAATTTCGTACCCTACCTTCACTGTTTTGCCATTTCCTAGGTACTCACTGAACATGTACCTATAATTTATTTTATTTTTAAAGATTTTATTTCTAAGTAACCTCTACACCCAACATGGGGCTTGAACCCACAACCCTGAGATCAAGAATCCCACGTGCCATGGCCTGAGCCAGCCAGGCGCCCCAACATGTACCTATCATTTATATGATCCAGTTAAGGTGGATTACCTGGGGACTACCTATTTTCAGTGTGTCCTACACACTAATATCTTTGAAATAATAGGCTTTGTGGCTATTTATTAGAGAAGACATTATGACAACTACATAACTAGGAAAAAGTACTCATCTATGTGTATAACCTGAAATCATCTCTGATGGTACACACACCACGTTGCGAGTAGAGTCTTAATGTGAGCCATGCCTATGGTGGTCAGCGCATATCCCAGCGCTGACGTGGTGCTTTGCACACAGCAGGTGCCCGATAAATACCTACTAAAAAGATGATAATGATGTATGGTTAAAGAGATGTGTTTAATAAGAAAGGTGTAAGACCATACGACGGCTAGAAGTCCCAATAGCAGGACTTGAGGCGACACGTTGGCTATACAGTGTACAGGACAAGAACAAAATGTTCTAAAGCTCCAAAATGAATCCGATTTGCTAATTCAAAAGTCCAACTGAGCACCTTGGTACACATAGCAGGAGTGTTATGAAAGTGCCAGAGGAAGTAGAGGGCAATCGGCTGGTTGACATTATTTAATAAAGAAAAGAGAGCACAGAATGCAGTTTCCCAGCGGGACCTCCAAATGCATCAAGGAGCCCTTGGTAGATTGAGTAGAATGAAGCCATTTCATGTAACAGCAAGATAAGCAGGGACAGAAGACCTGGATTTTAATCTCAGCTCTCGCCTTGTTTGGCACCATAAAACAAAAATGATGAGGATGGTGATGATGAAAAGAAAAATAATTCCAGTCGCTCACATTTACTGAGAGCTTGTTGTGGACCAGCTGCTGACTAAGCACATTTCATTGCCTCCTCCCATTTGAAGGCAGATACTGTCACCATCCCCGTTTTATAGATGAGAAAAACAAAGCAGAGAGATGGTATGTCACTGGCCCCAGGTCACACAGAAAGGATGCAGAAGAGCCACGAATCATACTCATGATCGAGTGCCTCCAAGATCTTGACCGCTCAGCCATACTGGATCCCCTTAACCTCCCTGAGTCTCAGTTTCTTCCTTCATAAGATTACTGTGATGAGCAAATGAGAAAAATAAAATAAAAAGATATGAATGGCACTCTTACGTTAGATTCTTTGGTTAGAAAAGAAAACACAACTGAAAAAGAGCATCAGACATGAGGGCACTAATGATCCTAAGCCATCGAATTGGGTATAAAGAGAACAGACTCTTTTGGCTGGAATCATTATCCTAAAAGACATGGAATGCCCCCAACTCCCAAAACAAATAAGTAACTCATTTATTTTGAAAGATGAGCTTGGTAGTGTAGCTCTTGTGTTTGTAAATCCTGCCACATGAAGCTAATTGTTTAACACCAGCATGGGTGTTTTCACTGGTGTGTGAAGAGTTAATTTTTAAATTAGATTTAATTTTCTGGAATGATATGCTGGAATATAAGAATAAAAAGCCCACTTGGAGTTTTTGACAATTGCTTAAGGGGATATAGTTATACTGACACTAATGACCGAAGATCTATTTAAAAAAAAATGAATGCTGCTAAATAAGAAAAGAATGAGAATTCAGCACTGGTTTTCCCTTTGAATTTTAGTCCTTTTAAACTGCTTTTTTTTTGGATATAAAATTGAAGCTGGCTTGTTCCTGTTCTACCTGATGAAGCAGGAGCTACTGGCCGGCTCTAATGAATGGATGCAGGTGAAGACCAATATAAATTTGGGGAAATCTGACTATCATTCTATGCATAGGTTTGCATCGAAGTCATCTCTAGGAGATAAACATCTGGATTACAACGAGTCCATCATTCCAGCCTGAAAGATGGTTCCAAGAACCGTGCTTTCTCTCTTTTGCATGACCATGCATTGTGTTTTGCATTCAATTTGAATGGTGAAAGATGCCTTATCATTCAATATTGAAATACAGATTTACAACATACAAGTGAATGACAATCGGGCTTTGAGATGATTATAGTTGGAAACAGTCCATCTGTTTGGGGGAAGTGGTTTGGGGATAAAGAAAGGATCGGATGCACTTTTTACAACATTGTTTACACATTCGAAATCTGGTGAGATTTAAATCCCTGTGATAACTTCGGGTACAACTTTGGACCTGGGCAATGAAAATGTCTTCTCACCATCAGATCGAGAACAGGAACTTATCCAAACTTCGAAGAATCAGAGGATTCTCGATCCTTGAGACTGGGAAAAATCCTTGAAAGCACTGAAGCCATTGGTCACCAACTGTGGGGTGAGGTCCATGGCACCGAATGTGTGATTAAGGACAGTCATAGTGTGAAATAACGTTCTTTGCTTTTGTGTTAGGACAAACTCAAGATTATCTGACATCACTTTAGCCCACTTGCTCCCTGATGCATTTCTTCAAGTGGAAGGAGAGAAAAAAGGGCTGCAGGGAAAATGCGCAGCAAATCACAGCTGTCTCAGATACACCTTAACCCAGAGCGACCACGCCTGCTGACGGCCCACCAACATTCATGGCAACTGCAGATTACACAGAGCTTGTGAGCCGTCTGCGGCTTGTTATCTGCTGTCTCACCTCACAAAATATGTTTGGATTCTGCCAAACTCTGGATAAGCCTCTTCAAACCATTTATTGCATGGATTGCAGAAAACAAGTTTGAAAATGAAGAGACTAAGAGAAAGAAGACCATGCAGGGGGCGCATGATATATTGGGTTGGTTTCCCAGCGCCTCGGATGGGCCTGCTCACTAAGCACCCGGTGACTGAGTGAATGTCGGCGCCATCCTACGGGAGGGATTCTTTCCAGCTGGCCATCGGGGAGGGTGGTCTAGAAGAAAAAGCAGGTGAGCAGGCCCTTGATGGTGTCAAAGGGACTTGAGGCTGCCCTTTGGGGGAATGCAAGGAAATGAGGGTCTTGTGAGAAATCCTGGAAGTCTAGCATAGGCTGGAGGGTTGGCTACGGTGGAGGAATAGCCCAGTGTGGGTAAGGAGGAGGGGTGCTTCTCAGGCCAGATCTTCCAAATGCTTCCTATTCCCTCTTATAAAAGGGGGGTGAAGCGAAGAAGCATCAGAGTGGAAGAAATGATCCACGAATGAAAAAGACTACTGCTTTGGGGATTTTAAAAATTAAAATATGCGTAAAACACTGGTTCCCAACTAGAGCGCTTTTGCCCTTTAGGGGATATTTGTGGAAATGTCTGGAGATGAAGCTGGTTGTCGCACCTGGATGGGGGTGCTCCTAGAGCTAGCGGGTGAAACCCAGGGATGTTGTCACATATCCAGCAACGCACAGGACCAGCTCCTCCACAAGCACAGCCCAAAATATCCGTAGTGCTGAGGTCGAGAAAGCCTGGTGTACAAAACGGAGAGGCATGCTGGAGTGCAGAGAGCACTGGGCCGGGAGTCAGGGGCCCCAGGATTCGTCCCCTGCTGTGTGACCTCAAGAAAATAATTTCCCTTCCTCTGAGCTCGGATGGTAAGAAAGCTGAACCAAATGGTAGATTGAATCCAGCCCTGACATTCTACAGTTCGAAGATAAAATTTGGCTTTCATAAGGCTGCTTATGGACTATAAGAACAGGTCTAGCCAAAGGAAAGCTTTGCTCCAGCCCTTTTTCTCTCTTCTTCCCTCCTGCCTTCAGTCCCTCCCTTCTTTACATCAGCAAACAGTTACTGAACATCTACTATGTGCCAGGCATTGTCAGAGAGAGAGAGGGTGCTATGGACTGAATTGTCCCCCCACCGAATTCATATGTTGAAGCCCTACTCCACATAGGATGGTATTTGGAGATGGGGCCCTTGGGAAGTGAACAGATTTAGATGACGTCATGGAATGGGGCCCTCATGATCAGAATAGTGGCTTTATAAGAAGAGGAAGAGAGAGGGGATCAGTCGGTAGAGTATGCAACTCTTGATCTCAGGGTTGTGAGTTCGAGCCCCACATTGGGTATAGAGATTACTTACAAATAAAATCTTAAAAAAAAAAAAAAGAAGAAGAAGGAGAAGAAGAAGAGAAAGAGAGAAACACTGAGCTCTCTCTGCAGGTAAGGACACAGCGAGAAGGCAACCATCTGCAAGTTAGGAAGACAGCCCTTACCAGGAACCAAACTGGCAGACACCTTGATCTTGGCCTGCCAGCCTCCAGAACAATGAAAAATAAATATCTATTGTTTAAGCCACCCTGTCTATGGTATTTTGTTATAGCAGCCTGAGCAGACCAATACAGATGGGTAAAAAATGGAAAGAGGTAAATGGGGGCACCTCCTCATTGAGCTTTAGGTCTAGAAGGAGGGAGAGATCACTAACAGATTCAGCCTGTTAGCCTCAGCACCGAGGGCAATTCCTAGTGATATAAATCAGCCAGAAAGAATATAAGTACATTTCTGCTCTTAAGAGACTGAGCAGAAATGTCAGGAAAAATTTAATAGAAATCCCTCCAAGATAAAGGCACATAATCTAGGAGGCAGCCCAGGGGAATAACCAGAGGTTTGACACAAAACCGCAGGTCCACGCTCATCACCCAGCCCTGGTCCTCGGCACCTTATTTATGTTGATGTGCAGAGCAGGCCAGGGTCCAGCAGCTTTCACCGTCTCCAGTTCCAGCTTCTTTAGATGGGCGGCAGCTTCACTGAACAGGGCAGGCCGTCCTGGACTCAGTTCTACAAGTGGCCAGGGGGGAATGAATAAGGAAAGATAGATGTGATAAAAGATGCTTACCAGAGCCTGATCCCCAAGCACCCTTCTGTCTGCCTTCTCCCCACCCCCCCCCTCCGAAATCCCTAGAATATGCACCAGCTGGTGGGCTGTGAGAACACCTAAGATCAAGGCTTCAAAGTCTAACTCCCCCAGGTATGAGCTGGGTGGCCTTGGGCAAGTCACTCTATCTCTGAGCCTCTGAGCCATTTTAAAATGAAAATAGGGGCGCCTGGGTGGCTCAGTCATTAAGCATCTGCCTTCGGCTCAGGCCATGATCCCAGGGTCCTGGGATCGAGCCCCGCATCGGGCTCCCTGCTCCGCGGGAAGCCTGCTTCTCCCTCTCCCACTCCCCCTGCTTGTGTTCCCTCTCTCACTGTCTGTCAGATAAATAAATAAAATCCTAAAATAAATAAATAAATAAATAAAATAAAAATAAAATGAAAATAAAACTACTTACCCTACAGGGTTGCTGTAAGGATTAGGGGAGGTCATTTACATACAAATGCATTATTAATGGCAAACACTATGCAAATTAGAAAGATGTGTGTTCAGGCTAACAGGCATATGAAGGTGCCCTTGAAAACCATTTTGTTTCCAAAACTAAATTCATTGATTTTGATTTCTGTACTATTTTGGATTAGTTTGCCATCACTCCTTCCACTGGCTTGTATTTACCCATTAATACAGTGAAATATTCATTAATTATTAAATATTCATTATGTATTAAAGCTTGAACCAAGTTATCGTTTGCAATTGAGATTTGGGCAGCTGGAATAAAAAGATAGATGAGGCACAATTGTAGTCTAGTGGTGGAGACAGAGACATGTGCAGATATTAAACACAGAGACTTGTACAGATATTAAAGGTTACTTAATTGCTATAGAGGCAAAAGGGAAGGCACTCCAAAGCCAGGAATCAGAAAGGCGTGTTGGAGAGTTTCACCAACGACAATATTTGAGTTGGTTCCTGAAGAAATGTGTGGGAGTTCACTAGGGTGGAGAAAAGCATTCCAGGCAGAGGGAATAGCAGGTGCAAAGGATAGCACTAGGAACACAGCTCAGTAATTGGTGAGAGGAGAGTAGTTTCGTGTGTCTATAGAGTGTAGTGAGGAGTCGGGGAAGGCTGGAGACCTTGGCGGGGGCCAGGCTGGGAAGGTCTCAGAAGTGTGGGCTTTATCTCAGGACAGTAAAACACCACTGAAAGGTCTTAAGGCATTTGGTCAGAGCTATCTGGTGAGAGGTCTCACTTTGGCATCTACAAGATGGAGACTGCATTGGAGGAGGTACCCCTTAGGGGGTATTACAGTTATCCAGATACAAAAAGATGAGACATAGCCTAGCAGGGCAGTGTAGATAGTCAAGGGGATAGAGTTCTGATTCATCAACACCACATGAATGATGAATTTCCATTTCTGACTCAGCCAACCCAGAATTGTTCCCTGTGGTCTACAGCTAAAGGCTCATCAGCTCACCCTTTCATCACTGCACAGACGCATGAAATTCCTTGGCCATCAACTAGACACCCTCTACCCCATTTCATAGATGAGAAAACTGAAGGTCCAAGAGGGAACCATGGCTCAAGAGAAATTCTGAAGACCAGAATCCAAGTGTCTTGACTCCTGCCTCTAGCTCAGTGTTTTTGCACATCGTATGTGAAAAAGAACCAGTTCTTCCCCCTCTGGTGTGTCACAGATCAATTCTTTGGTAAAGCATAATAAAAGGGAGTTTCTAGAAAAATGAAATAATAGACATACAAGATCCAAGCCCATTTTTTATTGGTTTTAATGGATATAAAATCACTCTATCCTATTGCTAAAAAGGTTTCTAAGTGCCTACTCTCCAGGGGCGCCTGGGTGGCTCAGTTGGCTAAGTGACTGCCTTGGGCTCGGGTCATGATCCCAGGGTCCTGGGACCGAGCCCCGCATTGGGCCCCACGTCGGGCTCCCTGCTCGACAGGGGGCCTGTTTCTCCCTCTCCCTCTGCCGCTCTCCTGCTCCCTCTCTGCCAAATAAGTGCCTACTCTCCATTTCCACACCTTCTCTTGGTGGGATCTGAAACAGAGTACACTGGTCCTCCCTGACATCACCTTGCTCTCAGAAGAGGGATCAGAAATGGGACAAAATAGGTTTTCCTGTAATTCAGAAAAGTAGAGATTCTAGCCTCCTGGCTCCCCTCCTCTTTCTATTACTTGAGCCAGTGGAAGTAGGAACTGCTAAGGAATGAGGTGGAGAGAGAATTGCCACGTTGGAATTAAATCGGAGTTTCCTGGGAAAGCTCCAGCTGAAATGCACAAGGCTCTTGTCTGCTCTAGCCCGGACCTGGTAACCCAGCGCTGACTTTACTTTTACGTGCTGCATGGAAAAGGTCTGTCTTGAGGATCTGGGGAAGCCGTCCATGCCCTGCAGCCTCCCTCCCTCCCACCCTGCCCTCTCCACCCCTACTCACTTGTCAGGGATTTACTGCTGGAGTTTGGAGACCTGGAAGGCCCCTCCTTGTTCTCCAGAGTCAGCGAGAGGCCATAGTTTGGGTGGTGCTGGTGCTGGTGATGGTGGTGCCTGGCTGAGGCGCGGGTAGGGCCCCCGTTCTCCTCGATGCCGAAAGGCAGCCGGTCCGAGCTGCTGAGCCCTGGGGAAGGGAGCGGGTAGCTGTGGAGGGTGTCAAAGTCAGGATTTAGAAAAGTCAAGTGTCTTGATATTCCTGTGTGTACTTCAAAAGATGTTCTCTGACCATTAAAAACCAAGAGAAATCGGTTCAACAAACAGATCCGCGGGGTCATTGCAAAACAGGACCCAATGGCAACACGGCGCTCAAGGAAAAGGCAGAAAGGGGAAATTTGTATATATCAGAGACCTAAAACCCTAAGGAATTCTTATTCTGAAGTTAAATAACTTCTGTTCAAGAAAAGACGTCCCTTAAATGAGAGGAGGAAATAAAAAGCAATACTAGCAAATAATTGCTAGCCATCCCATGACAAGATCGTGACACAGAGAGAAGTCTTGGAGTCACTTTCTCTTGCTCTCAGTCACCCCACCGCACAGGAGACACCTGCTAAGGGTACTGCTATGATACCTTTAATTCCAATCGTTCCCTCTGTTTTTATGAAAACTGCCCTTTTGGAAGTCCATGTCATCTCCCGTTGAGACTCCTAACTGCTCTTCCTGCCTCCACGCTCTCCTTCTGCCCACTGCCCACAAATCAGCAGCCAGAGTGCTCTTCCTGTCCACCCTGGTCGCCTCCTGGAGACTTCGCTTCGCTCAGGACGGTCTTGCATTGTGTACGTGTGTGTGTGAGGATGTGGAATAAGGTGTGACTTTGGCTTCTGAGGGTCACAGCCCAGCCTCACCCCTCCAACATGAGCTCCCCCATGCAGCCAGTAATGGGTGCAACAAAAAGTGAGCTGAGTTGAAGTTGAAAAGCCTGGGTTCCTGTCTTAGTTCTGCCCCAACCTTGTGTAGGAACCTTGGACAGTTGCTTTGGGCTTCAATTTCCTCCTCTGCAACAAGAGCTGGGCCAGGTGATTCTGGGTGCATTTCCAGGTCTGAAAAATCCTCCTTTCTTCCAACTATTATCTGGCACTTGCTCTCTCCCAAGCAGTGTACTAGCTATTTTACATAAACCATCCAATTTTATCTATGTAGAGACCTTTGCTTGGTACATAGTAGGTACTCCATATATTTTTGAAGAAAGGAAGGAAAAGAGGGCAGGAGGGAAGGAAGAAGGAAGGATTGATGAAGCTGTGGGTCTGGGATTTGACAACAAAGCCTGACATTTTTTTCCTGTCTCTCATATATGTTGAAAACAATATCTGTCCTAAGGAGGCACAGAGACTGGGGTCTCAGAAGAGAGAAAATTCCCTTTAGCCTAGGAGGCCTGGAGGGGCTGCCCAATTTAGGGCTCATCTTGAATTACCCTGAATGTGAGAATGAACATCCAAGAGGAAAGATGTCCTATAGCAGAGATCTGGTGTACATTTAGGGCTGGAGGTGGAGTTGGAAAGCTTTGAGTAAGACCTTCTGAGGAATGGCAAATAGTCACCATCTCCTACGCCAGCTTCAAGTGATTCTCACCCTTTGCTTGGAAAGCAAGATTGAGAAGGATTCTGAGGTTGTGCCCAACTCAGGAGGAAAGAATGCTTGATTGATTAGTGATGTCTGCCATGGACTTGGACTAGAGCATTGGTATCATGTACTCATCTTTCCAAGTAAGTGTGTGATTTTTTTATTTCAAGGAAACCCAGAGTGAAAAGCTAAACAGGGAAATAAATATATATGTAGGGAGTGATAAATTGCATTTAATAACATGTCAAATAAAATATGCATGTGTGATTTTCCTTTCACAGCTACTTATGGGGAAAACTGAGCAAGACAAATGGGAAGAGAAATAGATGAGGGTCAAAGAAGCAGCCTGAATCATGTCAGGGTAAGGGCCTCTAGAAGAGCAAAGGTTTCTAAGCAGTAGTGGGAGGACCTGGGAGCTCCCTCAGTTCCTTCATGGGAGGGACCACCCTCCCAGAGACCCTAATTCATGGAGTTTTGTAGGGTTGTGGGTCTGTTAAGGAAATCACTGCTCCTGGCTTCATAGCCTCATGGATTCTTCCCTGCAGAACCCCAGGAAGGGCCGTTCATATCGATAGACTATAATGTAAAGGGCATCCACTAGAGTTGTGCATCTGTCCTCTTCCCAGGGACCTCAGAGAAAGTCAAGCCCACCCAGAGGGTCCAGCAGCACTCAGCAGCCCCAGAGCCTTGGGACCAGTGCTTAAAGTTCAGTAAATGAGACCAGCTCTGTGCTCATGGTCAAGAGAGGCTGAGGTTCATGAGCTTCTGGCATTCTGGAAAGAAGGTCACAAGTCCTGGTTTTCAGAGGGTGGCGGAGGAGGGCTATGTAAGCTTTAGCCTCTGCTTCCATGGGCCAGCAGCTGAGATGAAATCTGGTGCAGAAGAGGGCTGGCTGACTGTGTGCCCAGCACTATGCGAGGCACTTTAGTATTTAACTTTTGCTATTACCCTGCATGGAAGCTGCTGATGCCTTGTGTTACACTGGGGCTTGGCGAAGGGGAGCAACGTGCCCTGTTAGTAAACATGAGTGAGAAATTGCATCAAATCTAATTTCTTCTCTTCCCTTTTTTCAGGGGAAGCCCCCACTCTCATTCTACTTCCAACCCTAGAGAAGTTAGTGCTCTATTGGCGGGGGCTATGTCATACAGGACTTTTCTGACTATTAGGGGTGGGCATAGCTCTGCAGACACGGGGAGGGTGGGGGACTCTTACAGCCCTGCCTAATCCCACCAGAGCCACTCCCCTCTGTGACCGTGGGACCCCCAGCATGCTCAATCAAAATGTGTTGCATACTGAATGACGGGATAATTATTTAAAATGTTATAATATTATAATAATATCAATAACATATTCATTATTATGGTATTATAGTAATTAGTACAATATTAATAATATTACTATACCATTACTTATTAAATATTATAATTAGCACAATAATGGTATAATTATTCAGAATAATCCTCCAGAATCCACTGCCAGAACTATGACCAGGGCAGGGCAGGAACTGGGGAGGGTCTTGAGCTGGAACACAGAATTCATGGGGCTTTCTCTCAAAAATAAGACCAGGAATGATGACGGTGCTCTCAGAAGCCAGCGGTACCATACACTCTACAGCTCAGCCAAGTTCTGGGTGACATGGGCTTCTGAGGGCAGCTCTGGGGATATAATCCTGGATAAGAAATCACAGAATTATAGAAATGGAGACCCTCCATTTGGTGGTTTTACACCCCAGACGAATATTAAAATCACCAGGGGAACTCCCACATACTGCTGGTGGGAATGCAAAATGGTACAGCTGCTTTGGGAAAACACCTGGCAGTTTCTCAAAAAAGTTAAACACAGAGTTACCATAGGACCCAGCAATTCCACTCCTAGGGATATACCCAAGAGAAATGAAAACATGCCCACACAAAAACCTGTCCATGAATAATCATAGCAGCATTAATCATAATGGCCAAAGGTAGAAACCACCCAAATGTCCATCAATTGATGAATGGATAAACAAAATGTGGTATAGCCAAACAGTGAAATATTATTCAGTCATGAATTGGGATGAAATATTAATCCATGCTAGGACTTAAAGGAACCTTGGAAAGCGTCATGCTGAGTGAAAGAAGCCAGACACAAAAGGCCACATGTTGCATGATTCCATCTATATGAAATGTTCAGAATAGTCAAGACCATAGAGACAGAAAGTAGATTCGTGGTTACCTAGGCCTGGGGAGGATGGGGGGAAACAGCAAGTGACTACTAATGACACAGGGTCTCTTTAGGGGTGGCGGAAAGGTTCTAAAATTAGATTGTAGTGATGGCTGTAAACCTTTGCGAAAATGCTAAAAACCATCGAACTATACAATTTAGATTGGTGAACTTCTACCTTTATAAAATTGATTTTGAAAAATATCCATGTCTAGCCCCTACCCCAGACCAGTGATGTCACCATCGATCTCTAAGTCCAGTGGGCAGCCAGGCTGAGCACCACTGCCCTAGTCCAACCTCTCCATTTTGCAGATGGGGAAGTGGGGCTCACTGGGGGAATGAGGTGACCGGGTCATACCGTGGGTAACTGGCTGAGCCTGGGACACCATCCAGGACTACTGCCTCTCTGCTTGCTGCCCATCTGCTACATCTTCCCATCTGTCTTGGCTTCTATTTCAGGCAACAAACGCACTCATCGGGAAAATCCTAAGACCTCAGAACCTCACTGCCTGAGACATCCTTGTGTACACATCTTGCCTTCCCAACGTCACAGTGAGCTCTGGAGGCACAGAGACGGTTTAGGTCACGTGTTTTCATACCCTCCACGGTGCTGAACACACAGCAGGTGTTCAACCAATACTGGTCAGATTGAAAAGAAAATTAGGTATCAATGCACTCAATAAATATTTAAGTGTCAACTCTTGTGCCTGCCATGGTGGTAGGCACGAGACTGAGAAGACAAGGGAGAGGTTGTCCTTGCCCTCAAGGAACTCACTGCTGAGTAACAAGTCCAAGGCAGTGTGGCAGGTGCTTTGATAAGGCTTACGGGAGGAGGGGCAGCTCATGTAGCCTGGGGAAGAGCCAACAGGGAAGAAGAGCTTATGTGCATATTGTAAGGGGAAGTTCTCACTTTTTTTTTCTGAAATGAAGAGCCAGTTGTCCCAACAACACCAAGGGAGTAATTCAGCCTTGTCCCACTAACCTGAAAGGCCATCTTCTGCATGTGCCAGTCATTTTTCTGAGAGCTCTCAGATCCCTGCTCTGCTCTGCCCTGACCTGCTGTGTTTCCAAGGAAATACATTTCTCAGGCTCCCGGCCCTTTGGCTTTCATGTAGGCTTGGCCAGTGGGAGGCACTGGCAGAGCCTGGAAGGTGGGAAAAGGAGAGAAGTCAAGGTGTTTCTTCCCCATCTCTTTCTGCCTCAGGTGATGTTTCCAGCAGGAGCTGTGAGTGCCCTGTGGCCCCAGCACCTGGGCATTGGAACCCTGCCACCTCCCTTTGTCCCTCTGTCCCTCCAGCTCTAGTTCTAGTGGTGCCAATCTCTGGGTTGCCTCACTGTTCTAATTTAGCTTCCTAGTTCTTCATCCCTTGTGTAACCAATTCCCCTGA